GTTTGTTTTGGGCGGATAATAAAAAAATTCATTTGTTAACCTACTAAAAATTGAAAATCAAATGAAATCTGAAGGACCAAACAACACATTGTTTTTTGTTTGAGAGACCTCAGGGACTTCAGTTGCCTGACATGGGGCTCCAAACTTGGTTGATTTTACACTATTTTCAATGGAGCTTGAATTGGGTCAGTGCACACTGTGGGTGAACTGCTAGTAACCATAACCTGGAGCCTTGAAGGTCAACCCAAACCGTATTACAACCTTTGCCCGATACTTGAGCACGCTTTTCTGGAAACTAAGTGAAGTTTTCAGTGTCCTGAGATCGGAAAGTAACAATTCATTGTCTTTAAGTTTGGCACTCATGTCAAACTACATGTGTACTAGTGCGGAACGACGATAGTGGCGCGCGCATGGAGATTTGTATAGTTACGTCATACCTTTAAGCAACTAAGTTGCCAACCAGTGGTAGAAATGCGCATGCACCTGTGTCATTTCAAATTTCATGGCAAAGGTCCATTCACCAAGTTAATGCACATATATGTACAGATGAGCACGATTTGTATTTAAGAGCCAGGTATAAAGTAATAGCGCTATTATAGTATGATCGTCTGAAATAATTGTGCACACGGTGACCTTTGCCCTCAATTTGGTGCTACTACGCATGTGTACACAAACTTGCGGCTGCTGCCAGGGCACAAGTGAGGAAATGCCTTGTGCCGCGCATTTTTGTGCTAGTTCCAGCGGTCCGAGAAAAAAGCAAGGACTTGACGGGGACCATGGGAATCACCTTTCCTAAAAGATGTTTCTTCTCGGAAATAAATAGCTCCGAATAAGCTCTGTGGTTGTTCACAACCACTTTCTTCTAGTTGTTCTTTTCTTTCATGATTCGTTGCTGTGTAAGCACATAAAAGTATAAGCCTTATATAATATATATGTAATATATATATCCACCTTTAAACTCAGTAATGTTTTTAGGGAGAAAGAAAACTTGCTACTAGAACTTTAGCGAAAACATACAATGACGCCTGGAATCAAGGCAACGGATTCTTTCAGAAAACGGAAAGTTGACCTTCATATCACAATAGTTCAACAATAGCTGCATGGTGTTTGATATGGGATATGCGCGAATATAATGCACATCAACAACACATATTGTTATACTCTTTGTGTTGTTCCTATTGTACCATATTTCAGGCGAAGTAGCTGCTTTGTTATAGATAAATCATACGGGCTTAGGGCGTGCGTGCGAATGAATGAAACTCCTTAACAACGGAGGGCACTCAACGTGAAGAAGTATGAAGGTAAAGTTGAATGTGGATTTACCAAATACCCACGTTTTTACTTAGCAGTATTAGCAATAACGGTTTGGTGTTTTAATCACAGATATCCATGATATAGTCTCGTCGATGTGAACTGTGAACGGCACGGCGTTGTCCTTGCCTTATTCAGTGTGGGCCGCACAAAAATCAGGACGATTAGGAATTTGTTGGAAAGAATGAACAAACAGGAAATACATGTACATGTAGATATTTTTTTACGCATAGGACTACATGTAAAATCCCAGCCCATGGTGCCCGCAGGTAGCCAGAGATATGTGAATGAAAATAGTTTGGGGCTGCTCGAGCCATACGTTTAACCATGCTATGTGCTTTCGCGTTTTGGTTCATTAACATAATTCATGTGGCCTATTCTGGCTGCTCATGTATACATGTACACGTCCGTGTCTCGTTCACGTGCAACCGTTAAACGGTTACAATCCCCCGCATTGTTATCAGAGACCATATTGTTCCTTTACAATTGGTAGGTCACAGAGCCGATACATGTACAAGAAAACCTTTATCTTTGGGTAGAATAGTCACCATTGGAAATGGTTAAACGTGCACGAGTACGTGTCAATAATGTTGTTTGTGTGCGGAAACTCCGAGTCCCAATCACTGTGAGTCAACTTAAACATGGCGGCCCGGCGCACCGGTTGACCTATATGATCCGTTTGAACGGTCCTCAAAGTCAAGTGTACTTATTGCTATGGCAAGATCTTTTAAAGGGTACCGCTCTTTGACAGGTTGGTTGAACTACAAAAACTGTTGCTCACTGCTTACTGACTGTATGATCTGAATCATTAGAATAGTTATGTTTTTGGTCTCAATGTTGCGAACAGGGTACTCTCATTGGAGTTAAAGAAAACTACCAAGAGACCTTCCGTGTCATGTCAACAGACATGGCGGTGGTGTAGCAAGGACCGACACAGTATGACACCTCTATCATCAGTAAAAGTCTACACGAAGAGAACAAGGGTGTTACCACTATAGCCTGATGCGAAATGAAGTTTCTCAAATTCTACGCGGCTTTAGCTCTGTTGGGAGCTATCGCTTGTTTCATCCTTGTGAGGAAGGTCTCTCCCAGGGACTTGAACTTCAGATTGGGTTGGTATCCGACCACGTCACGGCGTCTCAGTGCAAATGGCGACGGGAGCCCGGGGAACGACATCCGTGTCAAAGAGTGGTTGCGAAATAAGACTAGTGAGGCCATCCATTCTCCTCACAGAAAGGAGCCGAATCCGGGTGTTTCCGCAACGTCTAAGAAAAATAACGAACGAGGTATCGTCGCAGTAAAGTCAACTCCTCTGAAGATATCTAACCCGCTTCCACAAGCGAACGGTAAACCCGTCGGTAGGCCAGTCGCTTTAAAGCAAACCCCACAGAACGCGGAGACAGTGGTTACGCTGCCGAAGACACTCAACGTCGGAGGTGGTCCCAGAAACAACATCAATCCGCACGATTACAGACTACTTCTAGACGAACCGCGTGCTTGTTTAGATAAAGCAGGAACTCCCAAGAAAGTTTTTTTGCTGGTGTTTGTAACCAGCATTCACGCACACATCGAGCAGCGACAGGCCATTCGCGAGACCTGGGGAAGCCCGCGGGAGGTGAGGGGCAAGGGGATTGTCACGCTGTTTCTGTTTGGGTACAATGGAAACGCGAACCTTCAGCGACAGCTGGAGGAGGAGTCTAGAAAGCACCACGATGTGCTCCAGGAGGACTTCCAAGACGCCTACAGGAACCTGACGCTGAAGACCATCATGGGGATGAAGTGGGCCAGTACGCACTGTCCCCAGGCCTCCTACGTCATGAAGACGGACGACGACATGTACATCAGCTACGACAATCTCATCAAGCTCCTCACCAATGCCGCAACCCCGTCTACAAACTACGCAGTTGGGTATCTCATCACAGGAGGCACTCCCTTTCGAGACCCTGCCAACAAATGGTACATGCCAAGGGAGATGTATCCGAAATCATCTTACCCAACCTTCCTCTCAGGAACAGGCTACGTTGTGTCGGGTGATGTGGCTAGGAAAGTCTACGAGAGGTCGCTTCAGACCAAATACTTACACCTGGAAGACGTTTATGTAGCCGTGTGCATGGAAGCGTTGAATATCACACCCCGTGGGGACGCCAATTTTCACAACTGGCATCTCCAGTATTCCTTTCGTAATTACTGCAGGCTGATAAGCTCCCACTGGGCGCCCCCTCAGGAAATGCGTAGAATATGGAGCGAACAGCAACGCCGTGGGCCCTGCTAGTGGCTCTAATGAAGAACTGTTCTCGTGGCTGGGCTTCACTGTCCTGTTCAAGTGTTTAAACAAAGAAACATTTTCCTCTGCACAGCAATTTTTTTCGGAACTTCATAGGGCCTACTCCTCTTTTAAGAAAACTTTATTTTGTTATTATTTATTAAAATATATTTTGACATCTCTTTTGGCAAAGCGCATCTTTTAAACGTTAGTCAGGGAAGACGCTGTTTATTTTGTTTGTGTTAATCAAAAATCGTGAAACCAACATTTGCCTGTGACAAACATTGCTGAGAAAGTGTTACACATTTGTTTATTGCCATATGCTTTGGATCAATGAATCACCAAGAAAAGGGAACTTTGCCCACCAAAATATAAAAGTTCTACGTTTTAGTGCACAGATCCCTAGCGTGGCATGCGGAGTCTAATTTTGAACGTGACGTGCAACTGGGCACATTTTGTTCATACTCAGTACATCAGTTTCTTTGAAGTTCCAGATCAATCCGACAGAGGGTTCTAATAAAGAGGGCCATAGTTCATGTTCTCGTACGTGCATTAAGCACTTTTAATCATGAAAAGTTCACATCATTGGCATTGACCTTCACAAGACCAGAGAAGACCAGTACCAGACTAACACGAGACCACCAGTCCGAATTCAAGTCAGAAGCTACTCAAATGAACTGCAACAAAAGTATTCCCTTGTCACTGTTACTCGTGCATGGTCTTGTGTCTGGTCATGTGGCCTCGACTACAACACCCCCAAACATCTGTGAAAAATATGTGACAATGTGAGAGAAACGTACAAGGAGGTGGCTTCTGCTCCGGTTCTTTTCAAGCTAACTTGAATCTAGCTGGAATGAGTTTTCCCTGACATAATTCTTTCGTAATGTTTGTAATACTCATATTCAATGTATGAAAACTATGTGAAATCTCTATTAGATTGAATGTATTGAAAATGTGCCTTTTTTACCTGTCATGCTTGACAACCAAGGTTGTCTGCGAGGTTGTTGTAACGTTATTGCAGGAAGACATGATTAATTGCATCTATTTTTCTGACGTGAACCCGGAACTTACTCAGTGAAAACGTTTCTGACAAAGGGTTGATCGCTTGCTCATTGATATGTACTTACACAACGAGTCACGAAAAGAGACTATAGGCCAGCAAACCTGTGTAATATTGAGTTTTTGACCCTGGGCTGACATTACAGTTTCGCTTATAAATGTGTTACTCACTAGCATAAAACGAAAAAGGCAAGGAAACAGCCTTTGAAACGGTGAACCAAAATGTTTGGAAATCCGATTAACTGAGATGCAAAGGTGCATTTTGAGGTTTGTTGTCCAAAGCTTATCCTTCGAGATTCGGTTGTTCGGCTGTTGGCAGGAGACTGTAATACACGTACTTGACTTAAGTTGCATTTAATACGCAGAAAATCAGCACCATTTCAGCTAATAATTAGCTTGAACATGTTGTTTCGTATTCGTCATTCACAAGGTATGAAATACCTGGAAAAAAAGAGTAGTGGGAAAGATACCACTTCTGGGATAGGAACTTTTATCGTCGAATATATGTATATGTATGTTAAACGAAGTAGCCTGATTCTGTTTATTACCAAGATTACACTAGTTAATTGAATTGTTCTTTAGGCTAGGGTTGGACGGGGTTAAGTTTGGTTGAGCTAGGATGTGAAGATAATATCAATTAATATAGAATAATTGAGCAATATTGTTAAAGATCTCATTCTGGTGATGTCACTGCTCCTACTTACAACAATACTGTGTTTGATGGATAAAAGAGTTTTGATGATTTAAAGGTGTTTCATCTTGAGTTTTTTACCCACACGATGTATTTCTTTCTTTGTCGGTTTCAAGTTCTAGGTAATTTAATTTAATCCAAGTTAAAAAGAAGAAATATTGTTTCTGTAGTGATCGATGTATAGGTTGTTTTGCTTGCAACTAACCCATAAGAGCCATCGACCTGGCATGGTTACTATGAAACATCTTTTAATATCTTTGTAAGTTCTTGTGTTATTGATCACAATAAATTAATAATTTGACTAATTACCTTTTGACCATATACAGTGTATTGCTAATTGGTACAATTCCAAACGAAGGTGAACTTCAACTTACATTAATGAAGCAATTTGAAATGGACAATTTGCTACTTGTTAAAGATTTTATCATTTAAAGGGGCACAACGCCACTGGGTGTAGTGGAAAATATTAAGAATAAGTTTTGGTCTCTGAAGAAGGTTCGAGGTCGAGCCCACATTTGACCTCAAACGATGGATCTCAGCCTGATTAGTGTTTGCCAGACTAACGGCTTTCACCGTATATGGCAGATTACTCCTGCACTATAAAAAAATCTGGAATCGCAATTCCCTTAATTAGCTTATAGAGATCATTGAATCCACTCGCGGCCATTTTACCGAGCCGAATACAAAGCTTGCCCGGCAATGCCCGCCTTTGTTTTCCCTGGCGTCAAAAGAAGCGAGCCAACCCGCACATTTGTATTCGGATCGGTAAAATGGCCGCTGGTTGGCTTCTATTTCATACAAAGGCGTTGCAAGTCCTGTTTTTTTTGGTTTTTTTTTTACATAACCCCGTAACTAGATCGCTCCCTTGGCCTAGCGAATGGCTCCATCCCTGACAATCCGCTGTGAGCGGAACAAAAGATCGAAGGGGGCGTGATTTTTGCTACTCACCGCATCATTAGGCACTCCGCGCATGACGTCACTACGCAGACTCACGCCGCATCGAAAGTCATTTACATAACACGGAGCGACTAGTCGGCCATTGACGTCTACTGCCAGCAACACGTGGGTGCACACCGGTGGCTCTCGTGCACTTGTCTGCTTGTGAAAACTCAGCGCACGGTCATGACGGTCGTTTGTTTACGCGACTTTCGTGTATCATCAAGAAATTAGTCTTTGACCGTTGAGGAATCGCTGGCACACCTATATGATGACATTGATGGAGTAAGTACAATGGATTTTGCTTTTATTCCACACTTTTCTTACAGTCATAAAATTCATAGGCCTAGTAGTTCTTCAGTTGATGGTTGAGAGTGGTCCCCTCCTTCCTCCATGATGAGACCATGGACATGATGGAGAAAGGAAAAGACCATGTACGTAGGACTAGGATCAACAGTAGGCATACCTACAGTCATGACAGTACATGTACATGGCGAATTTCTGTGAAAATGACATGAGCAGTAACTTGAGTAGGCCTACAGGTCCACTAAAATTTTGCACACCTATCTTGCAAATTGTTGTCTCGTCTGATGTGCTCCCCCGTCCGTGCAGCTGTAATTCTAGGCTATCCATTAACAGTCAGCGCACAGCACCCGTAAAAGCTGCTCCGGTCCTTTCATTTGTTACGTGTGCACACGGACGTGTATTAAAAAAACCTGGACTTGCAACGACTTTGTATGAAATAGAAGCCAACCAGTGACCATTTTACCGAGTCGAATACAAATTGGCTCGCTTCTATTGACGCCAGGGAAAACAAAGGCGGGCATTGCCGGGCAAGCTTTGTATTCGGCTCGGTAAAATGGCCGCGAGTGGCTTTCAATGATCTCTATAAGCTGATTAAGGGCGAGTCCAGATTTTTTATATACGTTCGTGCGTATGCACGGCTGTCTGAATCATGCGTATGTCATGAGCTATGTAGATATTAGCCGTAAAACGTAGGCTTTCGTGTGTTGAAATGAGGGTACAAAAAAACTGGTTTTAGTGGATCCAAACCTGGGATGGCAGAATTTTCTTGACAGCAGAAAGATAGATATGTCATATATCCTGCCAAACAATACGTTTCTAGCCTCAGCCACACCTTTTGGACATCACCTTAAAGCCCACAACTCTGCTGGGTGCATGCTCAAACAAAAGTACATTTATTACAATGCATACAGACATAACTGCTCCCTTTTTGTTACTGTATTTTTACCCAGTGTGAAAGGTGATAGCAGCGCGTTGGTCCCCTGCTTNAAGCAACACGTGGGAGGCGTCACATGCGAACGTTGAGTACTTTTGAGCGCATGGTGGTCGCATTAATCCGTTTTTTTCGCGACTTTGTGTAGTATCATCAAGACAACACATAAAAAATTAGTCTCTGAGGCCTATGAGGAATCGCTAGCACACCTACGTGATATGGAGTAAGTACAATTATTATTCTACATGATACAGGATAGGCCTAGGCCTTGTTCTTGCGATTTGCATGCCTTGAGGCTTGAAAGGACATGTTTAGACTAATCCCAGGATCACTAGGCATGCCTACAGAGTACAATACATGTACATGGCCCATTTCTGTGAAAATGACAGGAGTAACTTAAGTAGGCCTATGCCCAGGTTTTGCACACATCTTGCATATTGTTTATCCCTCCCAAGCAAGTCGTTGGGTGTGATGATGCAGCTGTACAGTATAATTCTACTCTATCATACTAATTACCGTCACCACGCGCAACAGAGTGTCAACACACTGTCAAAACAACGTCAACACCTCCAAAACTTGTTAAAAATCAAAAGAAACGGTTCTCGACCGTAAAGTGTTTGCCGAAAGGATATTTTGGCTAAACCTCAACAGGTTGCACTCAGGAAAATTGCCGTTTTAATTTGGTCGAATCGCCTCCTTCAAACCACTGCTCAGAAATCAGCAGCCATGTTGCCACTGGGGCAAGTGGGACCATACCATTACACTAGAGGGGTGGTGATATTATATGATAAAGAAACAATGCCTTTTCATTTAAAGTTCTAAGTGTTTATTTTTTCTTAACACTGAATAATTGTCACGTTTCATATTTTGACAATAACTGTGTTAAAATTAAATAAAATCTATGATGTTGTTCTTGCTGTATTGATTTTTACTCTCTTATAAAGTATTTTATTTTACATAACCACACCTAAATGGTACAGTCCAAGGGCCATAAGGAGGCAAGATGGCAGCAAACAGCTACGCTGCTAGAGATCAATTTTTGTGTGTGTAAAAACTCCCTTTTGCAAATTGATTTGTGACCTCCAACTACTGGAAAGTCTTTTTCAGCCCAAGTATTACACTTCCATGCCTCTCTTGTAGATTGAACTTGTATTTTCGGGAAGTTGATGCTGTGTTAACGTTACTATTGTGTTTTGACGGTGTGTTGACGGTAGTTAGTAAGACCCATTCGTACTTGGCCATCCCATGATGTAAGCCCAACAAGCCCAACTTCACTTTGGCATGCTGTACATATTTAAATTTTTGAAATGATACTTGACGTGACTGCGTCAGGACGATGTACACTGTACATGTTGATCAGTTAATCTGACCAACTTAGACTCTACAAATTGCCTTTTTAAAGATTCAGATATGGTCCGGTGAAACATGGCATTGTAAACAAACTGTATACTCATCAGTGTGAAGTTGTCAACTTGGTCTGGAATTTTTGTTGGATTTTCACAAAAATGGTGTCAGAATGACCAAAAAAAGTTATTAAAAAAGTCCAGAAGGCTTCTGGAAAATATGCAATTTGATAACATTGGAAAATATGTTAAAGGGGGGTAGATTCCCTCTCCCTTCCCCCCAGCTCTTTAGGGTAAAATTCAGAGTTTCTTCAAGAAATTTCCACTCACACAGTCAGAGTTTTCACAATTTGTTAAGTTGAGAAAGCAGTCACTTGGTACCGCCTGTTGTTTGTACATGTGTCAACTGGCTGAAGATGGACCTTTTCAAATCAGCTGGCTTAGGCTGACAGAATTACATAAGTTTGTGGCAAATAACTGAAGCCACTCACTTGTGGCTTTAATCATCTGGCCTCAGCCAAACCTTTTGGACATTGCCTTAAAACCCACAACTCTGCTAGAGATATGCTCAAACAAAAGTACATTTATTAAAATGCATACAGACTTAAATGCTCCCTTTTTGTTGCTGTATTTTTACCAGGTGTTAAAGGTTATAGCAGCGTGGTTGGTCCCCTGCCTGTGGGCTCATCTTCTGGCATCACTGGCCTGATAGAGTAAGGTGATAGCAGCGTGGTTGGTCCCCTGCCTGTGGGCTCATCTTCTGGCATCACTGCCCCAGTAGAGTAAGCCATCTCTTGTTTTACGACAATAGTAGTCATGATTTTGGTTGTAGCAACAATTTGGTTAAAGGTACAGTCCACATTTATCTTTTGTGGATTATTTTCGTTTGAAGCAACAAAATTACTCAAAATCTAAGGAAGGGAACACAAGAACAAACCTGATGAAGTTTCAGTTTAATAGTGAATGCTCCATATTCTGAGAAAACTATTCTGGGACTTAGATTTTAGATCAAAAGTTGCTGAGTCATGTTTTAAATTGTGGCTGAATTCAGCATCTGGGAAACATTGTCATATTCAGTCGAATGCAGCTACACCTTGTCACCCCCTGAACTGATGAATTATAGAAACTGCTAGTGTCTGTGCATCATGTCAATGCTTGCACACATTTCTAACAGTCACTTTCCGAAACTTTGAGAAGGCGCATACTTGAAATCATTGTTTCTTCATGATGACCATTTGCCAGAAAGAACAGTTTCTCACAGAATTTAGTCCTCTATCTAAACCAAATATGCTTTTCAACAACAATTTTGGATACCTTTTTGATAAATGCAAATGACCGACAACCACCCTAAGCACTGCCATGAAATAGCGCTCAAGGTTAGCGCGTTTTTCTGCTGAAGTTAGCAAAATTTTTCTTCTGTGTTAAGAAGCCCCGTGAAATTGGGCCCTGACCCCACCCAGCCTGTTACACACTGCACTCCCCCGCATTGTAAGGTTTTATGGATTTAACAGTGACCCCACCATAAGAGTTGGGGAAAAAAATATCATTTCAGTGTGACTGAAAAACCTAAGGTGACCTTTTCTTGTTTTTTGTCATTTTTCCCTGTGTTTAGATTTGGGAAGGCCTCACTGCCAGGTGAATGTACTGCCGTGGCTGCCTACATGAACGCTGAGGCTGGCTAGCGTCATGGTGCGAGTGGACTGACCGATGACATCTCTAAAGTAAAGAGACAGGTTACGTCATAAGTAGCACAGGTAAGAGTCCTGTGTTTCATATCATTACTGGCTTTCTGCAAGGATGAATCTGGGAAAGGGGGGGGGGATTGGGGTCATGACCACTCAAGGAACAAAAAGTCTTTTCATTTGAAAAAATGAAGGTTTTTTGGTCTATTTAATTTCCCTTCATTTTGAAAAGTGAAACAACTTTAAAAATTGATAAAAAAGGCACCCAGAAATAGCCAAAATGAAGTTAGTCCCCCTTCCCAGAAAAAACATTGGGCCCTGGATTCACCCTTAGGTGCTTGTGGCTAGCTTTTAGGACCACCCTGACTTAGGGATGGTTGTGTGCATTGTGCCAATCAAGCAATACGAGAGGGAGGAAATTAAACCCTTGTAACCAGGGCAAGCTAGTTGAATTCACCCACTGTACTGGAATTGTTCACATTTTCCTGGCCTAAAGTTCCTTTTCGTTCATGGTTTGTTGTTTCATGACAAATTACCATTGATCAGTGGTCCACATTTCCTGAGATATGTTCAAGGAGCAATTTGGGTTTCACAGTTTTAATAATAAAACTCACGAAATGAAGCGTCTAATCATAGACATAATCATAGACATAAAATACTTATAGACAACAGGGGGGCATAATTTAAGGAAAGTCTCCATTTTCATGACCATGAGCAAATGGCTGCCTTGTCCTCTGGGGTTTCATGATTCGCTCTTTATCTGCCATCAAATATTATTTGGCCCTGTTGGTCTTTTTATTTAAAGTTCCAACCTGGCACAGTTCAATTTTTCTTCCTCATAATATAGCCTGTTATTACAAGTCATTAGTAGAAGCCAAGGTGCACATTATGTGAAATTCAGATAAATTCCTGACATCCTTCTTGTTTAGTGAATATTTTGAAAAGCAAATTAAACTTTTTTTCTCAAGTTTTATCAGATAGAGCACCGAGAACTGTGTTTCCAAAACATTTAGAAAATAGAGTCTAAAATTGAAATCACATACATTATGGGATTTGTTCAGGCTTTTTGAAGGTAAGCAATGAATATGGACAAAAATTTAAGTGTTCAGAGCTCTTATTTAAAGAAGGATCTACCTTAATTCTGACAAATATTGAACCAAAACATAAAAAGGGACCCACTGTAAAACTTAACAGTATTTTCAGTCACCATCCCAAATTTCCGATTTGTATCCAACTCAACAGACTTGTGCACACTGTTGAAATATTTCTGCCCACACTTTTGGGATCAGTCGTTCATTTCTGTAGGAGTTGTTGGTCCATTGATATTTTAGGTTTGTGGTCAGCCCTGATTGACGTTACAGGATTACTGTAAAACAGCGCCCTCACTTGGTAGGAAAAGGGAAAAACAATTTTAAGTATTTAAATATCACTTTTTGATTCACTAAACCCTAAAGGGGTGTCTGAAAAAATATTTTTAGCAGTACAAATCACAAATGCTTTCAGCAGTAATGGGTCAGCAGTGTCAAAGGAATCCTCTTGTCCATTTTCTGGCATGAAAATGGATGAAAAGCAATAAACACTAACGTTTTTTTATGAAATAAATGGTGTAAAAACAAGGAGCGTACAGGGATCCTATAATATTTGAAGAAATGTCTCAATTTCTGCAACAACATAGTTCATTTTGTGATTGGTTTCTTCCCCAGACCTCCTCACATGAAAGCTGTGGGTATGCCCCAGGAGAAGCAGACCCTGATGCTGATGAGAAGAGCGCCCTCGCCTCCTTCAATCTGGAGAGAAGCAAGATGGAGGACAAGATTTTATGAGACTTCACAGAGATGATTCATGAGAATGTCAAAGAGAGGAAGTAACTCAGATAGATGCCAGTCCTCGCCTCCATCACTGAGGAGGAATAGTTTCCAAGATTGCATGAGGAGTCCTCATCAGAATCTTAGGCACTGATTCACAAAAAGGCAAGGAAAGGACTCAATCTTCTCAGAGATGCAGTTCCTTGCTTCCACCTTATAGTGATGGAGCAAGTCTATCTTCATTTTTACACTACTCAAAGGATCAAAGGATCATACGTAGTGATTACAAATTTAAACAAATGGCATTCACATCGCAAAAAATGAGCGTCATTTAATTTGGCTATTTTCTGGCATCAAAACAAGAAACTTCCGCTACAGAGTACTGAAGTCTCACGACACTGAAAAAAAAAACTTTGGTCCAGCACCTTGTCCATCAGGTCCTTTACAGCCCTGAAAATGATGTATAAAAAATTGAGTTTTAAACTAAGTAATTTGAGGGGGCTGTTTATGAGTTAGAATGATATCGCGGTAATGTGAGGGCGCTGTTTATGAGTTAGAATGGTATCGCGATAATGTGAGGGCGCTGTTTATGAGTTAGGATGGTATCGCGATAATGTGAGGGCGCTGTTTATGAGTTAGAATGATATTGCAGTAATGTGAGGGCGCTGTTTATAAGTTGGAATGATATCGCGGTAATGTGAGGGCGCTATATATAAGTTTAGAATGATATCGCGGCAATGTGAGGGCGCTATACAAGGGTTAGAATGATATCGCGGGAATGCGAGGGCGCTATATATGAGTATATTCTGGTAATGTGAGGGAACTATTTGTAATTCTGAATCACAGAAATGAAGCACTTTGAAGATGTACATATCTTAGCATGAAAAAATTACATGTAACTGTTGAGACCCTTTTATTCAGTAAACTAATGCAATGTCTGACATGTATCTGTTGGCAAATCTTCCCCAAAACATATTTTTATAATTATCTGGTAAAAATAATGATTGATTCAAAAAATCAAACTTACGGTTGTCATGACATTGGAAAAAAAAGAGGCTTCACCGTTTTCCAAACCTAAACACGAAATGCTAAGAGGTCCAAAATTTCAGTCACTTTTTCTCAAAATGTCCTGAGGTGAGACACATACGTGTACGTTATTTTACCACGATAGGGTTGTATAGCACTGGCCAGTCTCATTCATGTCATTGTAACCCACCCCCCCCAACTCTCTAAGACACTCCCAGTCTCTCATCCCCTTGCCTCAGAGTCATCCCATCCTTAATTTATGCGCAAAGAGAGTGAAGGTGGCCATTTTGAAGTTGTGCAATACTCAAGCAATACACATCACCCCGCAATGCTTTTGACCCTTTTAGCTAACTTGATTCTGAAGCACGACTCACCAATTGCATCTCACACTCTACGGTGCTCAACCAAGCATGAACATGGGCTTCAGTGTACAATAAGTGAAGTCAGTGGGGTACACACCCGGCTAAAATTTTCAAAGACAAATGTCTGATCCTTTAAATATTTGAGTAGTGTATATTGGTCTACAGTACAATGCTGCTATAATGAACAGGGCAGGGTCCATACGCAATACTTGGTGTAGCATACCTCCCCAACTATTGCAGTGTCAGTGGTACTGTTCCAATTATCACATTTTCATATGCCTAAAAATCAAAATGTTCCGTTTTCCATTAAAAAAAAAGAGGGGAAAAAGTCCTGGCAAAAGAGGGCGCTATTTGCAGAAAAAAGAGGGCGCTGTTTACCAAAATAGAGAGGGTGCTATTTCCTATGTTGAAATGTCAGTTGTTACATTTGTGTAAACAGATTCTCTTGTGCGGCTGCTTGTTTTGCTATGTGGCCCATAACATGGCTGTTCCAATTTCAGAGTTTATTGACAATTTAACTTTTGAGTCGCTGTCAGTAAAAGTGCACAGAAAATTTGGGAGCCAAGAGGCATGTTCCGTGTACCATATTGTTCAGTATAGTGGCATTGTACTGTACTTACATCCACATTATTTATGACTTACGAGGTACTCTGAAAATTGAATAGGCAATCGGTCAGTTTGCTTGTGAAGAAAGACTATTGTTTGCCTTTAATTTCTTTTCATCGTAACGCATTGACTCCTATTAATGCACATTTTAATGTCTGTCACTTTAAATCATCACAAAACTGCAAGTCGCAAATTGTTGGCTCAGTGCTGAAAGGTCATTACTGCAAAAATGTAATTTTTGAAAACACTCTAAGGGCCTTACTCTGTG